GCCCCAGCTGCCCTCTGGGAAGGAAGGCCAACAGCACAGACTTGCATTTGAGGAATGGGCCACCTCTCTCCTCCTCTGCTGGCCCCAAGGGTTGCCTATCCCTGCAGCCCTTCCTCCCCAACACAGAGCTTATCCTCTGGGTCTTCTTGACTCCCTGGGACTTTGGTGACCAGTATGAGGCTTCCAGAGCATGACCACCTTTCTGGTTTTAGAGTGTGGTAAGAAAGCAGCACTTGAGCTCCATTCTAGGCCTAGCTGTGCCTCTAACTTGCTGAGTGACCCTGGTCTCCAATCCTTTAGATTTAATAATTCTAAGATAATTCCAGAAGTTTCTGAGAGGGGATACTTCTAACATTGGCACAAACTGTAAAAGGTTTCTCTTGGCCTCACCCCCTGCACTCTGTCTTCCCCTCTCTAACTTGCTCTCTGTGGGGCACAGAACCAGCATGGACACTGATCCCTGCACGGGGCGCTCAGAGGCCGAGCTCAGTGACCCTGGAAAGAGGGTTGAGGAAGGGGTGGATAATACAGGAGGAAGAATTGAGAAAAGGGAGGACATATAAGGTAGAAAGAGGAGACTTGGGTGAGATACAGTGCCTAGCCTCAGATATGTTCATTTTTCACATCTACTGTGTAAAGATGTGGAGAGAGGCTAGGACCAGTGGGGGCTGGGGAGATACACATATTTGTGCACAGAGAATTATATTCTGGGAATTCTCTTAGTCAGGGATCCCTGCTTCTACCCCCTGGGCTCCAATGGGGCAGAGCCCATTCCAGCTGCTTCACTGGACCTGGCAGAACTCCCCAGCCTGCAGGAGCCCAGGCCGCAGATGGGGCCACTTCCAAACAAGGCTTTCTCCACTCACCAGGCTCTGCTGCCCAAAGGTTTACACTGAGATGTACTTGGCTTCAAACCATTTCATTTTCATATCCTTTAGAAGACTTATAAGCACAAGGCCAAGGCCTTGAACACTTAGCAGGGCTGGGAGAGCTGTTAATACCAAGTTTGTCGATGGCTGCTCTGGGAAGCTGGCCAGGCTCAGGTTAGTGACATTCCAGGAGCCTGAATTGGGACTCCTTATGCAATCACAACCCTCCTGACTTCTAGGGCAGTTTCATCTGTATGAGGAATGCAGGAAGGTGCAAGGCAAAGGAATTATCTTGAGCATGGAGCCTAAAACACTTGCTTCTTGGCCAGCAGTGTTTGGTTTGTCCGAGGCAATGCCTTCAATGGGCATCCAGCAAGCAAGTAGGCAGGCCTCATTAAGATCCTCATTAAAATCTTCTTCTCTTTTTTTTAAAACCAAACCCCAAAAAGATCTCTGTACTTTTCACAGACAGGTTTAAACATAGATAAATGGAGCCCAGACCCCCCCGCTCCTCCCCCAAGAAAGAACTGCAGGTTTGCTTCTGTGGGATCTGGCCTGGACTTCTGAACTAGAAGTGACCCAAGTCCAGATCAGAAGGTCCTGGGTGAGAGCTGGGGGACTTGCTCTTCCCTTAGTTATTAAACAACAATAAGTTCCAAATTGTCTACTTTCATTTCCTCCTGCTGGAGGCAACAGAGGCCTGAAGAAACCCCAGGCCTGGGTGGGTTTCTCTTACTCTTGCTATGGGGGCTTTGACCACATGAAGGGACAGCAGAAAGATGACACAGACACCAGGGGAGCATATATAGCCGGTTCTTTAACAGCCCCTAGCTGGGTGTGTCTGTCTCATTCCTGTTTCCAGAGGGAAACGGATGTCTTATGTGCTCCATGGCGGCACCTATTCTGCCCACACCACATGTAGGCACTTGCAGGAAAGAGCTGGGACTGTCTGCATCTCCGCATGCTGGCCGGTCCCCACACTTGCCAGTAAGGGAGCAAGGATTCTAACAGCAGTAGTTCTCAAATGAGGGTCACAAGCTTGGAGTTTCTGCTCTCTGACTCTTTTCTGACTTGCCCAGTTAGGTGGTCCACTGAGGCCTTAGAGGCAGGGTCTGTGCTCCTTTCTGCCCCTGTTCCAGGGCATCATGTTGCTGAGGGTGATTCTCATCTATTTCTCTTCTGTGGCTTCTCTGCCCTACTCCCTCACTTAGCATTTACTTGCCTTCAGGACTTTGGTAAATGTTCTTCCAGTGACACCAAAGCAACAGATGTTTCAGCTGGTTGTGCTGAGTCTAAGAAGGGTCCACCTAGGAGCAGCCTACAGACTGTTCTGGACTTTATTCTTTTGGGGTAGAGCAGTAAGGAGAGAGAGAAGCTTCTTTAAGTTGATGGGACTTTCTAGAAGACAGACCTGGTTATGGGAGCTCCTTTGTAGACTGGGAGGTTGTGTCCTGTTTCTAATGGTTGTTAAAGGAGTAAATAAGTCATTTGTGAAAGTTCAGCACCTGCATACAGAAGGCGCTCAACTGCTGATGCTATTGTTGTAGCTGTTTTTATTACTATGATTCCATGAGTCATCTAATGTATATGCTCCAAGCAACTAATCCTCGAGCCTCAAGCAGAAGCCACCCCAGCTCCTAACCTGTAAAGCTATGGGTTCCGAGGCCCAGTTCCTGGGAGAAGTCCTCTTCTCACTTTTCTACCTTCACATTCCTCCCACATTTCAATTCAAACTGGCGGTTGGTTTTCTGGGTGCAGGTCACCAGATGCCCTGAGCAGCAGCAAAGGAGTGGAGCTGAGATCCTAAACAGGCTTCTGGGCCTTGGCTCTTCCTAAGGGCTTTCAAAACCCTTTTCTTTGGGCTGCCTTTGCTCTTCCTGGGTCCCTTGTCTGCCCCAAGCTTCAGATCTGCAGGTCTAAGCAGGCAGGTGTAGGAAGGAAAGGTGACATATGCATTGCCAATCCCAATAACACCGTGACAAATGGCCTCTGGGGAGGACTGCCTGGACTCTACCATTCACTGACTGTCAGCCCTTGGGAAAATCATCTAATCTTTTGGTGCCTCAATTTCTCCATCCAAAAACTGGGGATAATTGTATCTATTTCATAGAATTGTTTTGAGGATATCTGAGTTAATAAGTGTACCATGGTTAGAGCCATGGCCGGTTATGTCCTATGTTAGAATTAGTTACTATCATTGTGTGTGGTCATTTAATTCTCACATGCATTAATAACTGTATCAAAAAGGTATTATTAATATTGTTCTCAAAATAGGGGAGGCAATACCAGCAACATATTTGAACTGGAAGACTTTAAAGAAAAAAATGTAATTCAAGTAGGATTTCCACCAATTCTGTAAATTGTAGAGAGTAGCCTAACTTTGCAGTTCTGGAGCAAGAACATCTTAGGGATATTTCTGTTGGTCCCCACCCAGTTCACACACTCAGCAAATGAGTATGCTGAGCATGAGGTGTTCTGGGGACCAGAAACCCTCTAGGCTTTACAAAGAGGCTCTTTTGGCCCTTGCTTGGTATTCTCTCAGAAAGAGACCCTTTTCTCTCACCTCCTACCGATTTAAATGTTGAGAACACTCCTTTTGTCTTAAACATAAGCCCCAAGAAAAGCAGGAAAATATCTGACATTTACTTATTCACACTTCTGCTGCCTAGGTTAGAAGTTATGAATCTGATCCTAATGCTTGTTTTTGATTCACACAGAACCTAAAACATATTTAAGTTCATTATCACTAATTAAAAGCAAGAGATTTCACGTAAAAATCCAAATTTTTGCATTCTCTTGAAAACAGCAGATCTTCAAATATAAGCCTGTCTGTCACATAGAGTGATGGGCTGGAGCTAAGTAGGAGGGTGTGGGCTCCTCTAGTTTGCCAAAGGCCTCATCACTCCATATTGTCTCTCATACTACAGCTGATTGTAAATAGCCATTCATAATTACATCTGACTCTGTTCTTGGTTTCTACACACTTAACTCACATTGCTTGTGCTTGGTTCCTCTAGATGTTTGGATTGTGATTCCTGATGTTCTAGGATTTTCCAAAAAATACATATTTGCATTTTAAGTGTTTTCTTAGTAGTTGTGGAATGGAAGTTTCTCTGCCGCTTTTAAAGGAGTTTTAGGCACCAACAAACTGGTCAAAATGTTTCTTCAGCAGTTTTGAAGGCAATTCTGATTGTTAAATATGGAATGTTCTAGGGAGGGAGGATCAGACAAGTCATCTCTATGTCTCCTCTCTGTGTACCTAGCCAGGTTGCTCCAAGCTCCAGGAGGTAGAATAAGGGTCTGCAAGGCAGGATGGTCAGGTGGATGAAAACCGAAGCTCTTCATCCATGAACAGAGTTCTGGGCTGGGCTGTGGACCTGTTCAGACCATGCTGCTCATCAAGGTTTCCCCTTCCTCTTCTCCCAAGTCTACCCTGCTAGGCTGGCTTCTGCTTAGTGTGACTCCTGCTTCCTGATTCAGCCCCAAGCCTTCCACACACTGATTTTATGTTTACTGGAACCTTATTTTACTCAGCATAAAACTATTTTTCTCTGGAATATACCTCTAGGCCTTCTTTATGAGTTATATTCCATTTCTGAATATTCTGTCCCAAACAACAGCAGAATCACTAGAATGTGTGCTTCCTGTCAGTAGAAGCTTTGAGCCTGGGATGAGGGAGTAAAGAATTTCTGAAGCCCGCTGCACTACCTATTACACAAAGATAAGGAAAACCATGAGTTATAAGTGGCAGCTTCCTTCTTGGATCCTGAAGCTATGGAAGTTCACTCCAATTAAAAGCTCTGCCCTGAGACTTTGCAGCAGTTCCACCACAATCATTGAAAACCATCACCTTTGAAAGCAGAGCAGATTTCCCTGTGAGCCCAGCACCAGTTCCCTTGGGTTCTTAATAGCTATGGATGAAGAGTAGCTGTATTGAAGAGGAAAAGGTCAGAGGAAGGCTACAGGGAGATAGAAAGTAAAGGACACTGGGGAAGCAGCAGAGGAGCCGAGCTACAAATTAGAGGAAACCGTGAAGGTTCTCTGAAGGTTCCTGTTGAGACCCCATCCACCTGTTCACCCACCCCCTAGGCGCATGCATGTGAGACATGAGGAAGGAAGACTGGTTCTCACCATGGTGCTCAGGCCTCCCAGAAGCGACAGCAGCACGGGCAACAAAATGTGAGGAGTCGGCTGCCTCCTCTTGAGAGGGGTTTCTACTCAGGATGATGGCATGGGCCTGGCACCACAGAAAGAAGAAACAAGTTATTTATATGCTTGGCAGTTGCAACAGAAAACTAACAGTCCTTACAATGATTAGCAGAAAGTCAAGAAACTTTCCAGCAAGTTGAAAGCAGTGATTGATGTGGAAGCACAATTGACTCTTGGGAGGGCTGGGTTTTAAAAGCACTGAGTGGTGGAGAGAACGCTATGTCTGGGGCCTATCACTAAGTAAACCATTAAAAAGTCTACGATCATTTGAGTCAGCAAAGAGGATCGGGGGCAGGGTGGTCAAGAAGTAAAAAGCATCAATGCTGTGCTGAGGCAGTGGGCAAGCCCAGCTCCTGGCCTATTGGTCAGCCTAGAAAGTGGAACCTACTCATAGGTGATGATATGTGCCTGATCCATCAAGCCTGTGGGTTTGCACCCTCTGCAAACTGGCAAATGGGAGCTGCCTGAGTCTGGAAAACAGGTTCTTTGGAAATAAAGTCCATTTTAAAATTAAACACATACATACACACATACACACACACACACATACACAACCCTGTGAACACAAAAGAATAATAATTTTTTCAAGTAAAATACATAATACATCCCTTTGAATAAAAAATTACTACTCATCTCCTTGTTAATACTTAGTTTAAAAAATACTATTAGTAATAGTTTCACATTCATCCAATAAATTAACACTTGCAGATTTCCTACAATGGGAGAGGCATGGGCGAGAAGGTATTGGCAGCTACAGAAAACTCAAATGAAACGTGGTGAAGTAATACAATAAACTAATGTGAGGTGATAGGGAGCTTGTAATTAATTGCCAAAAGAGTAACAGAAAGACTAAAATGCCATAGGTTTAATAGAGGGAAACACTAAATTGGGGTAGGCAAATTGTACTAGCAACAACTAAGATTTAAGTAGCACTTTAATTCTTTTGTGTGATACCACTTTTAATTTTCTTGATAATTTTTATGAGCCTCATTTTCTAGATGAGAAAACTGAGATTGCTGAATGGGTGAGTGCTATAGTTTGGATCTAGAATTCCTCAAAGGGCCCTATGTATTAAAGGCTCAGTACCCAGGCTGGCACTATTAGAAGGTGGTAAAAACCTTTAAGAGGTGGGGCCTAGTGAGGCATGTCCCTGAAGAGAACTGTGGGACCCCACTCTCTTCTTCTTCCCGTCTTTTGTTTTTTTAGCTGCTATAACGTGACAAACTTTGTTCTGCAATGAACTCCCTACCATGATGTGCTACAGACCCCCCCAAAACAGGGCCAACCCATCATGGACTGAAATATCCAAAACTATGAGCTAAAATAAACCTTTCCTCCTTTTAAGTTGATGTATAACCATAACATTACTATAGCAATGGAAAGCTAATACAGTAAATGACCAAGATTTCTCCCTATAGCTAATAAGGAATGGAGATGAGGCTCTGACCTTGATAATCTGATTTCAAATTCTGCTTTCAATACCATGTCCTGAATGCTGCCATTCATCCCTCCAACCCATGGTGGTAGATGTCACTAGCTGATATCAGCACACTCCTAGGAGCACACTGATTCAGCCTCCAGAAGCTACAATGAATTCATGGAGCTGGTGTAGGAGATAAAGTCATTTCAGTAGAACCTTCTAGTCTGCACCAAGCAGCATTTTCTCCTCTGATGGCCAGCTGAGTGCAGTTCTGAAACTATAATCAGGGTGGAGTATTGTCACGTGTTAAAATCTGGGTGGCTAGCTCTGCGCTTTTGGTGAAGGGGCTGTTCCAAATCAAGATTGCTGGCCATAACTTTTATTGCTACATCAGAACAGTAAACATTCTTTATTCATAAATGCTAACAATATCCTTTGCTTTGAAATAACTTTTCATACACACACACACACACACATATGATTTTTAGCAAGTGCACATTAGTCACTGTCCTTGCTTTTCAAATAATGAGTACTTCAAAATACAACTTCATGAATGCAACAGATTATAGGAGCCAACCAAGAGTTAAATTGCCATATGCTTAGTGTTTGGAGAAGAGGAAAAAGAGTGACACATCCCTCCCCTTATAAAACCTCCCAACTGCACACTGAGTGGTGTTTATTTTGCATTTCTCCCTTGATTGTCCATCTCTACGATCCACTATTTGAGAAGAACAACCACTCTGCCAGGGAAGGCTTTCCTCAGACTGTCACAAAGACTCAACATACACTATTTTAGTTTAATCTTAAATCCAAAAAAGATTTCTCCTTTGTTTCTGCTTAATATTATAATTCAAGGAAATGTAATACATATATGACTATCAAAATTATTTTCAAATGAATAATTACATGTTCTGGAAGTATCATGAATGGCATTTTGCCTTGGAGACAAAAAGTGATACTTTTCTGACAGAAAAAAAACATAAAAATAAAAAAATTAAAAGCTAATGATATTTAAAAAGTGGGTTCCAAAGGCTCAAGGGAATCTGAATTTATCACAAAATTTTCATGACCTCAATGTTGCTCTATGTGAGATGCTAATACTTTATTAACAAGCATTTATTATTTATTTCAGAAACTCATTTCTCTGATCTAATTTATTACTTGATGTTCATGAAGATTTTAAAAACAACATGCAAGAGAGAAAGGGAACATCCACGATATTTCAAATGTGCCAAATTAGTATCTTACTTATTCAGCAAAATTCCATTCAATTCAGTTTATTTTAATTCATTCCTGTTTGATTCATTTTTTTCATTTTTAAGTGCCTTCAATTTGCCAAATATTGCACAAATACTAGAAATTCACACACACACACAAATCAGGCAAATCAGGCAGGAATTTTGGGTTTAAAGGAGATCAAAGATGAACTACAAAAATGTGGGATAGTTTCATTTTTACATAGATATACAGACACTGCCCTGCACTAGGTTTAAGTACCTGGCTCACTAACTTCCTCTTTACCCTAACCCTGCTGTTACCATTTCCAGTGATTTCAGTATCCATACGATCAACCTGTGCCCATCAGGCAAGAAAGATGACACACGCAAACAGGTGAAAAGTGGTCAATAAAACGATTCTTTCCATAGATGAAGCCCAATGATGAGAGTTCAGGACCTCAGCACAAAGTGCTTTAACACCCTTGGCCAGATGAGCAAGACTAGGAACATTTGCTCTAATTGGAAAGATGATGTAGGGAAGTGAGCAGTGGCTTTCAGTAGGGATGCAGGCAGCGAGTCTCCATGGAGGAGCTGGGGGGATGAAAACCCTGTCTCCACTCCCTTTCCATGGTCTGCAGTTCATGTCATGTGGCTTTCAGAAGAGGCCAAGGGCATTAATCTGGGACTTAAAGTCAGCATCTTGGGCACACAGCAGGGCTGAGAAGCAAGCAGAGTGGAGCTGAAGGAGCAAACTAAAGTCCCAGCTAACAACGTGGCCTCTTGGGTTTTTGGCAGACTCATTTTCCTCTGTATGCTCAGATACCCAGCATCCAGGTCACACTCCTGGCCTTACTGACTACTAGTTTCTACCTCTGCATCCATATTTTGTACAGGAGCCCTGGCTCTATTACGTCCATGTAGCTTCTAGTCTTCTCTCTACCCACTTGCCATGCTCTCACTAGCCTTTCAAACTCCCTGGTTTCCCTTCCTTTTCCTGCTTGTCCAGCTTGGAGTGCACTGACCATTGTCTATATGAAAAATGCCTTCAGTTACACTGAAGAATATTGAGATGGTGAAAATGGGAAACCATCTAACTACCCATCAGCAGGGGAACAAATATATCAGGGTTCATTCATACAACAATTGAACTCTATATATCAACCTGGTTACATTTCAAAAACATACCAACAAGTAGAAAAAGTGACTTGCAAAAGGATGCAGATGTCAAGGCACTGCTGATTTTCAAGTTTCTTTTTTGAAGCAGAAGAGCCCCTCTCATTCCAAACTAAATCTTCCATGGTTCTCTAATACACACAGAAGGGGAGAACAGAGCTCCTCTTCCTGAAGCCGGGAGAGGGTGTCCGGAAGCGCACCTACTCCCACATAGCTGCCCCAGAAGAAGCTCCGTGGAACATGAGGGCTCCAGGAGACACAGACTGGGAACCACTCTGGGCAGTGAGGCCCTTAGGGAGTGAGTGTGAAGGATGTTGACAGGGTCGGTGATTAGATTATACAATCTTGCCAAACTTAGCCACTGCTCACAATTTCAGAACATGCTTTATTTGCTGAGAGAATAAATAAATAAATACCCCTGTTAGATGCATCTGAGAGCATTTAAGGAGTAGGAATCATAGTGAACAGGTTGGTAAGAACCCTGCTTGCCTCTCTTGGCTTTCAGAGAGCCTAAATAACGGGTCCTCCTGGGGCTCAGCAGCTGGATGGCACTCACTCCTTCACCACATCATTTATTAATCTCCCTAGGGCTCTGGTTTCTCCTCATGTCCTTTGTTATTTTCAATATCTTATGGCTATGTGCTTATCAACTGTCATCTTGAAGTGGAGTAAGAATGCTTAGTATCCCCAAATCTCTTGGGCTGCTGCATGTTGGACTGGGTTAAAAAACAAACAAACAAATAAAATCCGCTTAATATACACATTGAACAAGGTCATTAACTGAAAAAGGTCACAAGACCAGCTACTCAACCCTTGCCAAGGGACACAGCAGCTGTTTCTTCTGATGCCTTGTGTGCATTGCTGGGGGAACCCTTGGTTCCTTCATGCAAATCCAGCTGTCAATAACTGCAGCCAGAGCCAGAGCTGGCAAATTCTTATCTAACTGGGCCTGTCTCCTTGGATTTGTAACATATGCAATATTTCTTGAGGAGAAAGCTTGATGATAGTAAAAAGGATGAGGAAGTATTTCTGTTTATGCAGGCAGATCCCAGCATGTGAACACTCAATACCCTGAGTGTGCAATCCCAACTCTCAGGGAAAGGGTGTGTTGGAGGAGGGGAATAAATTTCTCCCAACCTGGCAATGATTCGGGGATCACTGACTGGGAGGATATCTCCTCTCCTATAGCAAGGTGAAGAATAAGTACACAAATGACTC